GAACTTCTTATTGTCCTACAGGCTATGGTTCAAGGTCTAGATCTATTGCAGGAGAATGTTCTCATGATTCTTTCCATCAATTCCACAGAAGTCTCTTAAATTTCCCATCATGGGAGCATGCATTCTCGGGTCCTTTGTTTTGGAACTTTGGTTATTTCTCTGCAGGGCTCACTCCCATCATATCAGCCTCCTGGCTTGCCATTTTTTCTGGGGTGATGAATTTCAGAGCAGATCACCTATGAGCCCAATCAGTTTCTTCCGACTAAATGGATTCTACATTGTGTTGTTTTTCAATGGATTTGCTCTCAGTTCTGGTCTCCAATGGTCTGGTCTCAGAATTCTGGCCATGATTCAATTCGATTCTCTACTTGAGAGCTGTTGGTAGCCCCAGATTGGTGGCCCAACCATGGTTTCAGAAAGTTTTTGGACTCATCAGTGCTATCCAGCCTCCTCCAACAGTTTAGAGTTCTTCTTCCCAAACTTAATTGGGTGGTATTATATGCTTTGTCTTGACATCCATTCAAGCCTTTAGCCTCATGTACCATGTATCACCTTTCCCTTATATGGTATTTCTGTTGCTGCTAGCATATGAATGTCATAGGTTGGAGTTTGCACTACATGTGCACCTAGACTCTTTATCACTCCACTGTGGTCCTGCTATACTCTGATAGGTCCATTTTTCTTAAATCTCTGGCAGCCAGGTAAGGTTATTAATCCTTCTCATCAGTTCTTTTTGCCAGCTATTTCTCACCTCTATGACTGATCATTTCTTATGTTCTCTCAGAGCCCTGAGGCATTATTTGGCTCGCACTAACTCCTTTCGGGGTGATGGTACTTGACTCTGTATTCATTGGGATCCTTCAGTTTCCTGAGATTTATCCCCAATTACTTTGACTAGATGGATTCATAAATATCCATGTTGCTTATTCTGGACTTTCTTTACAGGCAAGAAAACTTCTGAGAGTCACATTTCATTAGATTCCTCACATTTCTATGTCTTTTGCTGCCCATTTCAATTACTCTTTGGAGGACATCATATGGACTAATATATAGCCTTCTTCCAATACTTTTCTCTCACATTCTTTACATGATCTGGCAGTTTCTTCTTCTGAGAGTTCTTGATTACCCCCTGTGGCCATTTTGACAACATCTGCTAGATTATAAGGAGTGAGTATTTTTGTTCTCTTCTTGTCTCTTTACTTTCCAGGGTCTCTTACCTCCTTTTTCACTTGATCCAATTCTGTTGCCCAGACAGGAGTGTTTTTTTCCATACAATTGCACACTAGCAACCAATTTAACTATATTTCCTACCGATTGCAACAGGCTCTGTAGAAAATTAGTGTTCCATAAGACAACTTACCAGATGGTATTACCATATTCTGCTAGACTGCCACTCCTGGACTATTATGAGTAAAGGTAAAAGGGATCCTGCCCATCCCTGTCGATCATTAGATTGAATAAATTGAAGGCAGTTTGCTTTTAGAAATTTGGGGAGCTTGGTTCATCCATTGCACTGTCTCCATAGCACTGTTTCTCAGAACTCCCCAACATGCATTACTCCCCAGATTCTACTAGTGGAGCTAGGGAGTCCTTACCACACCCAATTTCCAGTCACTGGGGTGGTGGACAGAGTATTTTCCTCCAAAGTTGGGGCCCTCTTACCCTGGATGTTTTCCCCAGATGTCGGTAGAAGAGGCACCAGCTTTTGTGGGAGCCTACTCTTAATACTGGTATAGATTTGATGCTAAGATATCTAGTTGGGGTGTGCATGGCCATTCTTTTTGATCAGTGTGGATTTAATATATTGTCCATGGAAGGAGGTCCACAATCTCCTCGTAATTCCGAGGTGTCTTATACATAGGTTTAACTCTCCATATCCCTCTGTGCTACATGTATCTCAATTTTTTGACATAATTGTTTGAGAAGGGTTTGGTGCCTTTGTCTGTTGCCTTATATAACACTACCTTATCAGCTACTTTTCATTTTTCTAAGAGAAGAAAATTTTTGAGTCCCCGGTTTCATCAATACTTTTGAAATACTTTTTGGTTATCCATTGTCGTTTCCATTTCCAGATTCCTAATTGAGATATCACAGTGATTCTCCATGCATTATCACGTCCACCTTTTGAACCTTTGGAGTCATGTTCACCGTATCATCTTTCGCTTAAAACATATTTTATTCTGTTATTGTCTAATGGGTGTTGGCATTCAGATGTGTTTGTGCTTCGTGTTCACAGGATACTGTACTTTTCCAACTAAGTTCTATTGTATCTAGACAGGTCCTTTTTACCTAAAACTTCAGCAGCTAGGGAAAGAGATAAGGCTTTCTCGCCGATTCATCTTCCCTCCATTTCCTATTTAAACGACCAATCGGATCTGGATCGTCTTTTATGCCCTGTTTGGGCTCTCTGATGTTATGTGGCATTCACTGAAGCATTTCAGGGCTCACATCACTGGTTATTTATCCATTGGGATCTTTTAGTATCATGGGATGTATCCCCTGTCACTTTACAAGTTGGATTTGTTAGTTGGTTTGGATTGCTAACTCTGGTCTTTCATTGGAGGAGTGGAGGCTTTGGTTTTCATCTCATCAAGTTTGACATATATCAATGTCCCTGGCAGCTCAATTGCATAGCCTACTGGAGGAAATTGTACAGGCTGGTATGTGGACCACACCTAACATCTTTATATTGCATTATTTACATTATTTAGGTCTCCTCCTAGGATAGGTTTTAGCTACCTCCCCTAGCTGTTCTACATGGCCAGACTCAATTGTGACAGAGGTGAGTAATTTTTTTCTTTTGTGCTCCTTTTCAGTGACCTTCTCATTATTCTCATTTGGATCCCACTCAGTGGCAAGTGTTGCCTGGTCAGGTATGTTTTTACAAATCTGCACTAGCTACCAGTAGACTAAAAATTAAATTCCTGGTAGCAACGAGCTCTGTGGAGATGAGGGGTTCCATAAGACCACCTTGGTGCTTTCCGTGTGATGAACAATTGTTTTATATCAAATATGATATACATTACTGGACAGCCATTCATTGACTATCATGAGTAAATCATAAAGGGATTTTGCCAATCCCTGCTAACCCCTGTATTGAACAAATCAGGGTTGGTTTGCTTTTCAATATAGGTAACATGGTTTACATATTGCACTGTCTTTGGAGCATTGTTCCTCAGGACTTCCCAGGAAGTTCCCCCCACCCATCTCATCCAGTGGAGCAAGGAAGTCCTTTCCACTCTCAGTTTCCAGTCTCTGGAGCAATTGTCATAGGTCTTTTCCTCCTAAGTGATGTTTGTACTCTTTATTACTCTCAAGGAGAAGAAGGTGAAGCTGGATACCCTCCCACCCTTAACCATGGATGTTTTTCCCAGATGTCTACTGGGCAGCTGGACCAGCCTTTGCATGAGCTTCATTGTAATTCCATTTCAGAGATGACACTTCACTATCCAGTTGTGTAAGTGTGGCCTTTCTTTTTGGTCATTCTCTTACTTTCCATGATCATGGAAGATGGACCTCAACTTCTTGTAATTCTGCACATGGAGTATCATGTCCATGATCCATTGGTTGAACTTTGTTTGTTCCACATCCTCCTCTTAATTCCAGGGGCAGGAGGTGTTGCCTTGTCTTTTATGTTGAGGAGTTAGGATTTTGGTTCGTAGTCCAAGGCTGGAGGATCTCTGTTCCTTCAGTTTGAGTGAGGCGTAACTTGGCTCCATAATTCCAAGTTTGGTTTGTTGCATTCTGTGTTTCTTCAGGTTGGGGGAAAGACTTATCCAGTTGGGTGTTGCTTGCCTTCCCTTCCCTTCATGATGCAAGTGACTTGCATACAACATTCTGTAACTTTCAGGTTGGGTGCCTGGGCCCTTAATTCCAAGTTCAGTTTTGTGCTTCTTTAGGTTGAAGTGAGAGTTTGTACACTTAGGTGTTGCTTGTCTTCTCTACATAATTCCAGTGGATCGACATGCAAAATCTAGTAACTTTCAAGTTGGGTTCCCTTCATATCATATTCCTATTATATATTTATGTCATATTGTGGTCCCTATGCCCTAGCCACTACACCTTGGATCTAGCTTTGGGTCCACAGCCCTATAATTCCAATGATTAGATGAGGATCCTCATTTGTGTTGTTGAGACCTGGATGAATCTCATGATAATGAACAATGAGCCATGGTTCACATCTGTGACAACACACCACTACATCAGTATATACAGCTCATTATTATAAAGTGTGATTACCACTCTCTGTAACAGTGATCACATAACTAATGTGTGAAATCATGAGTGATGTATGAAATCATATGACTGATTTGTTTAGCAATGACTAATCTGTGAAATCACATGGCTTGCATGTAAAATCACATGGTTATGTGTCAAGTTCCTTTTCACAGTTTGTGTTCTTTACCTGAAATAGTTTTACAAGTGTATATTTGTACTTATGATCCTTCTGAGGTTGTAAAAAGTTTTTTTTTGTTGATACTGAATGAGCTGTATGAAGAGAGTTTCACATGATAAATTTGCAGTTTTTACATGTCCAAGCAAAATGCTAATAGAGAAAGAATTAGTGTGTGGATCATATTATGTTCCAAAACTAAATTTTGTATAATGTGAATGTCTTTTTTTTAATTGAGAACAATGGCTTTGGTAAAAAACATATTTCTTTAGAAATATTTATGTAACAATTAAAATTTTATATAATATCTTTCTGATTTTTATAAAATAACCTTGTAAATAGTAAATTTGTATCAAATATAAATAGTTGTTCTAACTCCTAATAATAACTTGTTTAATTTATAAGTTAAGTATTATTCACTTTCAAAACCAAAGGATTAAACTTAAATTTAAGCATTAATTTGGTATTTCCAGGCTATAATTTTGTTTATATGTTTATGAAAAAGATATATGTTCTGAATCATACAATCTTTTATTACAACATGGTAGTGTTTAGAAAAAATAAAAATAATCATTTTGTAAGTTACTTTATGATACTTGTGTATTAGTTCTAGGAAGAAGGAAAACACTCGTGTGTCAGTTTGCTTCACCACTAGATGGCGATACTCACAATAAACCTGAGGTAAGGATGTATAAACAAAATGGATTAACAGTTGGCAAAAGTATTGAGATTAAAAATTCTATTTAAACTTGTTCTCAAATGCTTCTTACGGTTTAGTGATTTAAAAAGAAATTTAAAACTTGTCCTGTAATATCCTTTTGTTGTACATAAAAATATTCAACATTATTTTTAATTGTTATTGTGCAAGGTAGTTAATGTTATGAAAAAAAATCCATATTTGAGTTCTCTTTAACTACTGCAAAATAAATTTTTTTCTTGAAGCTTCTTCGATATTCTATTTGATTAACTAAAGGTAGTGCCTTTAGTTTCTTCTTTTTTCAGTGTAGTAATTGAAACTTTCTTATTAAATTTTTAAATATCTTCAAGTGGAACATGGTGCATTGATATGTTCAGCCTAAGGAAAGAAGAGGAATAGGATATTTGTGTAATAAGCATTTTTAATTTAATGTATGTATTTAATGGTTAAGTGGAAGTTTGTTTAAAATTTAATGTTAAGTGCATTTTTCTTATTTTTATTGTACAAAAATACTCTTAACCCTATCGCCACGGGTCAAAGGCCATGTCATCGTGTTTGTTAATTTGCATTCAAAACTTTATTGAACTACTATTTGATGAATTTATTTCAGTAAGTTTGGTATCAAACTGTAGATTATAATTTAAAAGTAAATATTAAAAAACACAGTTAAACATCAATTTTTGTGTGTCATGTGGTATGTTCAATGCAACACTGGTTCACATTAGATGTTTGTGGTGTAAAAATACAAATCTTCATGCTGGTAAGGTGAGTTTTCACTGAGCTCGAAATTTCATATTTTTTTAGACCCAAATACAGCTTAGTTACTAAGTTTGATTTCTGTAATGTTAACCAGGCATGGCTGAAAGGTCAATATAATAAAAATAATAAATATACATAAATGCATAATGTTATTAAATTTATGCTACTTAGAATAAACATTTGTGTTTTCATGTTATAATTTGTAGTCATTCTAAAACGAAAAAAGCATAATTTATATTTATTTCCTAATTTTTTATGGTGGATGCAACTGACAGACCCCCGTATAGTTAGGGTAGAGAAAATAACAGACAAAATATAAAGTTTTAATGAAAACGAATATTTGAAATGTACTTAGGAGGTTTTAGAGATTACACAAATAATATTTGAGGTTTTTGTGATGAAGAATAGTTTTTGAATCATAACATGAAAAATCACTTTGCACTCAAACTAGTAATGAAACAGACTTGATATTTTCACAAGCAAATCTTCAGTAAAAATACTTCATTAAAAACTATGATTTTTTCATTAAAAGAGACTTGTAATCATTACTAAAAGTCTACCAAATTTTGTGAAAATACACATAATGCATTAAAAGTCATAGTATAAATACTTAATGTGTGCAAATGTGTATACTAACTCATGTATTTTATACTGAGCCTGTCGCAAAAGCGTTAAATTTGATGTCAAAATCTGCTTGCGTCCTATACTATAGGAGGTATGAATAATATATATGTATATATATACGATATACACAACCCATGTGTAAATATATTTAAATAGGCATGCATAGTTTAGTTCAATTGAATGTGTTATTTATAACAATAGTCAGTTTTTTCTTTTAAAAACATAACTATTTATAATGCTCCCTAAATAATAAAAAAATAAATTACAGTGAAAGCAATGACGATTTTGTAGGTTTTGAACCAAACTAAATAACAGTAAACCTTTTTTTGATTTACGGTATTTTCTTCTTTTGATATTTTGAATTCTTTTGTGTTTAGAACAATATATACTAATTTTTTAAAGTATCAAATTGAATTTTTATTCAATAAAAATCTTTCAAATGCGACTGTAGC